TTGGCAGATAAGTTAGGACCAGTGCGTCAACGATTAGCCACCTATACACTAAAAGATTCATTTGTATTTGCTGACAGCATGAATAACATAAATATTACTGGTAAGTTTATGGTTTCTTTCGATGTAACATCATTGTTTACAAAAATACCACTTCTTGAAACCATAGACATAATTTGTCAATATTCTGACATCCTACCTCTACCAGTACCAGAATTCAAACGACTATTACTCATTTGTACAAAAGATGTTCAGTTCCAGTTCGGCGATATCATATACAAACAAACCGACGGTGTAGCAATGGGAAGTCCGTTAGGTTCTATCCTAGCAAATATTTTCATGGATAACCTCGAAAGAACCAAACTCAAACGAGCGATTGATGAAATGACGTAATATTCGAGGCATGTTGATGATACCTCCATCGTATGTAATAATCAACGACATGCAGTAAATCTGCTAAAGTTTTTCAACGAAGCCCATCCAAATATCCATTTCACTATGGAACATGAAAAAAAACAAGTTCCATTTTCTCGATATTGCGATGAAGCGAAGAAAGGACGGTACAGTTCAACGTTCAGTTTATAAGAAAGACACATGGAATGGAAGTTATTTCAATTTCAATAGCTTTTGTCCAATCAGTTACAAAAAGGCACTGGTCAAAACACTCACAGAATAGAAAGAATATGTACTTCGATACACTGGAAGAGGAAGTTATGAATGTTAAAAAATGTTTAAAGAATAACTCATACCCACTGAAATTTATTAAGAAATATGCCAAACGTGAAGATAAAAAAACCCAAAGAAATTACAGCAAATAAAAAGCCTATTTTTATTCAACTTTAATTCAAATATGACGATGTCACAGGATCAATCAATATCCGACTAAAAACTGCACTGACAAGAACTTATTTGGCAGCAAAATTGATTGTCCTGTCCAAAACAACATGTTCTTTGACACAATCAAAGGTCGACAGGTATCCGTTTCATGTTACCACCAACTGTGTATACAAATTTACATGTATCTGCCAAAGCAGTTACATTGGTAGAACAGAAGGGTGAGCCTACGTCCGATTCAAAGAACATGTTCCGAAAAGTTTAAGATTAAATGGATTAAAAACATCCAGCAGTGCCATCGCAAGACATCTTGACACAGGACATGTTATTCTGCACTAATCTTTGTTCTTGCTCTCTTTAAGATAATAAGGGGAACTATGTGTATGAAATATATTCGCCACATTATTAACTATTGCCTTTCTTAGGACAAGCTACTCAGTCTGACTCTAATCAAATTTCGCTGTAATACTGATTATATTCTTGTACTTCTAACAAAAATTTCTATTAATCATCCATACCATGGAGCTAATATTATAAGTAATACCGATGCAGGAATTCCAGTACAGCAAGTTGGATTTTGGGGGCAAAACTAAGCATTACCTATCTGATCTTATATCAATAAAATTCTCCGAGTAACTTATCATGCTTCGGTTAGTTGAAAATAATAGCTTTAATAGCGATCTGATATCAGTTGGAGTATAACTCTTGGACATCATAAGCCTACCAAACTTTTTCGGTAGTTTGAAACTTGTTATTGTTTAACCGTGTTCCTAAATAGTATTAAACTCCTTTAAAGTCGAAACTCTACTTTTTTTATGTAATTTTTGTGCCTAAAAGCAATCTGCTAGTGATTTTTCTTGATTACAATCAAATTTTAATGTTTAGTTCGTGTGGGCGGTATTGTACACTAGTTTTATGTCGAAATTCATACCAATTGTCAGTCTTGATAAGAGAAATCGATGTATGCTAATGTGCTGTTTTTTAATAACTATAGGTACGGGATGAATTCCGCAAAGATTATGACGCCGAACGAGGTGGTTATGGGAAGTTGGCTCAACGAGAAGGAGAATAGTTATTATTTTCATATTTTGTATTTTAATATTATAAAAACAAATAATACTAATGTACATACAGTTTGGCTTTCTTTCGTAAGCTGATGTATACATAGCTCCGATAAGCAGCATTATGAATTTAAAACTGTTAGTTGAGGACTTGCAATACTAATACCTTTTCTAACTTGAACTAAGTAGTACGAGAAAGTCAAATGTTTGAATGGGTAACGTATTTAACTGACGAACTGTCATGTAGTATAAAAGTCGATGTTTTTGTGAGTTACGATAACATTTAATGGTCGTATACAAAACTTGGCTCAATTCCGGACTGTTCTAGAACTAATAATCATAACTATACTCGTGTTACGGAGTTTAGGGAATCGGAACATCAAACAATGTCAAATTCTAAACCACGCTCTCAAATATTCGCGTTAGATGTTACTAGGCACTAGTTATTTTAAACGGTTCATATGTTATATCAGAATATCCAGTCTTTTAGGAATCCTATTAAATGGTCACTACCTTCCAGCTGTATCGTTAGAGGTAGAAAGGTGACGAAATCGCCGATCTGAATATCGGATTTTATGATCATGTCCATGTGCTAAACCAATGACACATCAACCAGCACTAACAGCTTTGAATCAACTGTTTATTGGTCCTCGACATTGTAGTAGTTTCTCGCCTAGCCCTGTCCGTTGAGTCCAGAACATAATATTCGCCTCCACTATATGACTGACATATTTCAGACATATTTACTTTATATACAAACAGACCAGACCGCATCACACCATAAAATGAAAAAAATAATTATTACACAAAAGAAAACTGAAAGTGGCTTTGAATATAGGTAACTTTAACTGATAGATTGATGATAAATCGAAAATGGTAAATTGTATAATAGTGGCCAGTAAGTCAAATGAAAGCCTATGATGAAAGATATAAATATATGTAGTCTAGTTGCTTAATAATTATAAATAAGAATATATATATATAATGAGTCCATAAATAACTTGAGAGTTACTAATAATTTAGTCCGCTTTATTTACAACAAAACCTTAAATTCTACATCAATAACTATCGAACGTCTAAACTATTCCATGAAAATTTCCCATCCATCCGCACGATTTTCTCTGTTTCTCCATGATAGAGGGGTATATAGTAACCGTTAAAAACTGTCTAACATCCGATTGGTTCATCTGACAAGTACTTACTGTTGTAAAGCACCAATCTATCGTTATCCAGTTTATCTAAATGAGATGATAACAGTAAAACTAATTCTACTGATCATATGATTGAACCACTGTTGTGGAGTAGTACATACCGAACTGTAAAGACCTACTGTTCCGCGAGTATTAACGAATAATCCGGACGTCGACATTTATTTGTCGGATATTAATATACTAGTTTCTACATACTGCTAAGTTGTGTGACTTATTTCAAATGACGCAATCTTACTAGATTGTAACGCTTCTCACCAATAAACGTGCTTAAGAAATTTTACACAATGATGGAGCGAGAGAAATAACCAAATAACTCACATATAGTAAGTGACAACAATCCGAATAAAGTTGGTACGATTAATAGTGAGTGATGTCAATATGTTTATGATCATAAGGCCGATTGGGGTATATTATGCTTATCGTCATGCTAGAGGCGTTTGATCTATTTATCATTTATTCGTAGAGGTTGCTGCTTTACTATCTATAACCCTGTGTTCAGATTTTCTTTATCACGGGTCTGTACTTAGTTTTGACGTGATTTGTTCGTACACTGAGTAGAACCCGTGTTCTCATATTCCATGAAGAAGTTTAAGTAACTGCCTGTTCTGTTCCTGTCTACTCAGGGTATTCACTAATAAGTCGAGAGTTAGAATGAGTGGGACGATACTTGGGGAGTCTTGCTTGGACACTGACCAAAGGAAGTTACAAGGAACTCAGAGGTTGTTATTTTGCTTGAGAATCTACGTCTCGTTAAAGATCTTCTATATGGTGGTCAGGATGGGTGAAGCTCATTGTCAAAATCTAGGTGAAGCATCATCAACCTGTACAATTACAGAATATAATGGGAAGCTAATTCGTGCTGCATACCTAAACGTCTATTACTAGGGAGAGGGTATAATGGTACTATCTTAGATTACAAAGTGGGTCTTGCGCTCTCAATATCTGTGCCAAGATAGTCAGGGATCCATTTGTTAGAATGGATAAATATATGTGTGTAGTAACTAAGATCTCCATCCTTAATCCTCTCACTCAATAAAGTATAAACCAAACTAATTCTACTGTTTTTCCGAAAGTATTAAGACTAATGCAGGTTGATTTTGCCTAGTACCAGATCTTGGGGATATTGTACGTCTTACAATAATCAACGATAAGGTAGTAAGTAGCATTTTTAATAGACACTAGTTGTTATAGTGATTTCAGCAAGGTCCTAATTTAGTCCCAAATCATTGTTAACGGATTTCGAAGTAGCGGATAATGCTTATGTGAAAACCAGCCAGTATACAAATATTTATATCCAACAACTCCCTGACTAAATACATGGAAGACAATCAAGATTGGGGATATAAGTTGTGTACAAACTCCCAAACAGGCATGTTGGGAACTACATTAATCACCTCTACTGTGATAAATGCTTATAAAATATCGACATACTAAGAAGCAAAAGCCAGGTTGCATCAAGATTCCTGGTTAAGTTTAGTGACTTCATACATATCATGAAAGCTTGAACTAATTATTGGGATACTCACTTAGTCCATGACTGTTATCTGAAATACCTAAGCAAACGTTACTTATTCGTTTCCCAACAGTGACCGTTCTCGTATGTGCCAGCTGGAGATCATGGGGTCGCACTGATATACTACTTGAAGTAGCAACAGTAGTCATATAAGACTTTTTAAGAGCTTACATTGTAATATATGGGATCAATCATAAAAGCGTGCAGTCTAAAAACAGACGAAATGGATCATAAATCGATATCTATGGACGCCGTTTAACATATTTTTTTCTACAAGGTGAATATCACAGCGCAACCTTTATTTGTGTACTATCATAGATAATGAACCTAATAACATCTCACGACATTTTTCTATCCAAATGCAATAAAGCGAATAGGACAATTACACAGTAGTTATTGAAATTTATTTGAAAGAATGCATGAAAGTATTTTGAATGGGCATGGCGTTTATCAAATCTAATATGATGGAACAAAAGCAGAAGAACCGGAAATTTTAAATGTTTTAAAGTGAAACAAGCATGCCTTTTGTTAGCGTTTGGGCTTTCGACTTGCCACACAGTAATTCAACTAGCTTCATTGCAAAAGCCAGCGCAGTTCCTGGACCTCGACTTGTAACAAGTTTATCATCAACAACAACTTTGTCTTCACAATACGTATAACTGGGAAGTTTATCCTCGAAGCCCGGATAAGATGTCAGCTTTTTTCCTATGGCGATTTTGTGAGATTCCAGGGCGATCGGTGCAGCACAGATTGCTGCAATGTATTTGCCGTGTTTTTCATGTTCTTTAAGTATTTGACCAACTAATTTCGATGACGCCATAGCATTGGAACCACCCATACCACCTGGCATTACTACCAAATCAAAAAGTTGTGATGAAACGCTGGAAAGTGAAACATTTGGCTTTATGCAAACACCATTGCTTCCCTTAACCACTCCATCGCCCTGAAGTCCACCAACAGTAACGTTTACTCCTGCTCTAGCCAGTACATCAACAACAGTCACCGCCTCTATCTCTTCAGCTCCCTCAGACAGAATCAGCAAAGCTGTTGCACTCATTTCTGATCTTGATGATCAAAGTCAAGGTCTATATGGAATCAACGTCCAATATATTGTTTATGTTCTTGTGCAGTTTTCAATCTTCAATTTTTTTGACCTATGTCAATTCTTGCAATATGTCTTCAAATAAATACACAGCTTCGACCAGTATGTATCATTTGACCTTTTTGATTTCAATGTTGTACTAACGAGTGGTTCCTAGTCTTTTATAACACTAATAAAGGTATTTCAGCTCTTCAGTACCACTAATCTAGTAGAATTCAGCAATACTTGGAGTTCTGATCATTCGTTAATATAAAGGAATGCGTTTGTATCATTGTAGTTTGATTATTGGGCTTTCCAGATCCCGCGTTACTAGGTAATCTCTTAACTAGTTCCTATAAAACCATGTTAAAGAAAAGTGAGAGAAGACATGGATTTAAGGTAATTAAATCACCTGAATATATAATTTCATGTGTGAAGACGGAAAAAGAATAGACATAGTAATGGCCAGTGTATGTGATTTGGAGTAGCATAAGTTTATAATAATGATGGTAAGGATAGTTTTAACAACAATCGATAGATCATAAGATATGATGTGAATAGGACCTGTGGATGTCAGAACTTATTTCATGCTCAGTGTATGTGACCAACCGTTATTCGATGTTTATTTCGACAATTCATGATTACCATCATGGTTACCTAGCATGTTTTAGAAGCTTTCTAGTGTGAGAGCTAGAGCCACATTAGCTGGAACGGTGCTGCAAATATGAATAACTGGGTGCTGGGAAAAATCGATTTTCACTTGCGAGTTTTCAGTGTGTACCGGGCTTTGATTATTTTATGAGCGTGACTTCCACATCTCAACCTTTTGTCTGTTATAGACTTTCTGGAAATCTAGTTCCATGAAGCATTTTGGAGTTATTATCTCATAGTCGTGCAATTTACTCAGTAAGATTTTGTCTCCGCTACATAGCGACATCACGTTGATGACCTTTTTCAAAATCTTCCACGTTTGTATGCGTAATTATGCATGGGAACATTTCTCTCCAATGTACACTCCTTATGACATTAGCTTCATTCTCCCTTTGATTATTGAGTTAATCTTCTCATCCATTCGCTTTACTGTACTATGACCACCTGCTGATCCATCAAGGGTATTATCCATAAACATGTAGAAATATGTCCCTTCAATAGTATCACACCCATCCAGATTGTTCGTCTTTTGCAAGAAACTTGTACTCTATAGCGGTTGACTGAAAAAAGATTCAGAACAGGGCTTTATACCTGCACCAGTATACTGTTCAGGTGCATCCTTTATCCATGTACCTCATGCCTAACATTCTCATTAAATTAAATTGCGGTAATAACTGAATTGATGAAATGTGATGCACTGGCGATTTTCGGGACGTAGTCTACAAAGCGTAGATGTCGCCACCAACAAGTCCAGTATTTGGTCCGAATAAAGAGCTAACGAACCTGATTTTGTTTCTTTATATCAAACGGAGTTATTCTGTATAGCGTACGAATTGTTTCTGTCTCGATTTTAGTAAAGGAAAATATTCTTTCATTCACTAACGCAAGAAAACGAGTTGGTAAATCCTTTTCTTACAACCATATTTGGTTTGATTGTAACTTAAGCGCCGCTATCCATGAAGGACCATATTAACCCTCCATCTTCGATGCCAATATCATTATTTTTGTGGCTCTAATAGCAGCTATTGTTGGTAGTTCATGGTTGGATTTCAGGGATAGGGAAAATATCCAAACACCATTGTACCAGTAACTGAAACTCAGCCTCCAGAGTCGATTGTTTTGCTTTTAATAACTTTAAATAGTCATAACTATGTTAAGTGTCTCTGGACGTTTAAGAGAATATGATTATTTAATTTTGGCAGGGATGAACTCCTAGTTTCTGACGTCATTGCGAAAAATATAGAATGATGATTCTTGTGTTTTGGGAAGATTGTGGAAAATGAAACTGAAAACTGTTTCTTGCCCGGTATCAAAAGTCAGATCTCTTCTGTTCACAAAGTTTAGTTTCATATAATTGGTATTAATTGTCGCCCAATTACTTTCCAAACAAAGAGAATACAGGATCAATGAAACGAACCTTTTCTAAAAATGCCGTATGTGGTAAAGTGTCGAGCATTTTAGTTGAGTCAGAGGATTGTCCAGTTGTTCCAGAATAAAACAAGGGTTAGGTAAGATAACCAGCCATTCATATAGATCTGTTGATCCTCCCGGAATGTTCTATATTTCTCATCCCGCTGCTTCATCTGATCAGTGATAAACGTTCTATTATCTTTACAGTAGGAATATTAACAGTACTTGTCTGTAGCAAGTAGGATTCGTTATGAATAGGAAATGGTTTGTTTTCAATTTCGAAGACGGTTGAGGTGCTATTGAACCCAAAAACAGACTGCAAATTAGTCTACAGATAATAATTGTACGCTTCTTAATTATGAATAGGCTAACGAGCAGGTTCTAAATTGAGAGAACAATATGATCAATGGACAATCTATACAGACTTGTTTATATTTATGACCATAGCAACTCCGCTTTCGCGCATACAAATCATGAAAATTAAAGAAGGGGAATTCACAGCTGCTATATATGGTGCGATTAAAGATCAGAAATATAAAGAAGCGGTAAACATGCTAAGTCAACAACTCCTCGTCCATCCAAGCAGTCGAGCTGCACTTTCTTTACTCGGTTATTGCTTTTATCAGCTACAAGATTTTGTTAGTGCTTCTGATTGTTACGAACAACTGACTCAACATTTCCCTGATATAGAAGAATATAAATTTTATTTCGCTCAATCGCTGTATAAAGCAGACTTGTTTCAAGCGGCGACTAAAGTAAGCACTTCTATGTGATAATCGATTATCATATCTCTATAAAGTTATTCGAATACTTTTAATTATAATTAAAAGTAATCAAATTAATGTGAAAACTAAGAACCCGCGAGCTATTGCGATTTTGGCGGGTAGAGCTAGATGTGCACAGAAAATAACGCATTATGTTTAAAACTCGTAATCACCGAGCCATCAAGTGCAACGAATCATTATTTCTTACAAATACCACACTTTATTAGGTCTACAATAGAATACGTTAAGATAACATAGCTTCATACCCCGCAGTTTCATCGAACGTAAATTTATGAGTCGTCACTGTTGTACTGAGTTTTCATATCTCAGCGGAGATGGGAAGTTTAACAATAAAATGGGTACGATCTAATTTTGGTTAGGCCGTTGACTCAGTTATATGTAAACAGAACGATACTGAAAGGGACCTAAACAAATTTTTATTGTATTATTCTGGTTATGCCAAACTATTTTACGAATCCTTGCGTGGCAGATTTGTATGTAAATTCCGAAGTTATTGAAAAATGGAGAATCTTAGCTACACTTAAAACCTGCCCATAAATGTGACTTGTATTTATGAAACCATATCAGAAGAGGTAACGCATGTAGCAGCATACGTTTACTGTTTCCGTATTTGTATTTAAATTTTGACCCATCAGAGAACTGAGTGTAAACAATATCATAACCATCAACTGCCGTATAATTTTTTAGATCATTTTATAAATATGTTTAGTTGACTTTTTGTTCAGTCTCAAAATGAAAATATTTACACATCACCACTCTGCACACCCTAGTGAGAATTAATGGGGTTATTCTTCAATACTCAATTAAAATATCAAATAAGCCTATAACTTACGACTTATAAGATATTTAACAGATAACTTAAGTAGTCTTTTAAAATGCATATTTTAGCAAGATCTTATTTTCTTAAACACTCGAACCCAGGACCTTCGGTCTTTCTCGAACGTTTGACTTCTAGACCACTAAGCCGGTATCGACTGGTGTTAATGTCTAACTTCAATAACTCCACAATATTGCGCGACCATCTTCGATTGTCTTCGACGGGTAACTGCCTGACAACTGACACGGTTGAACTCCACTGGTCACGGCCTCTCATTGGGAATGCAAAGATTACTTCTCGAAGCTGGTCACTAGTAATCAGTGGAGTGACCAGTGGAGTTCAACCATATCGCGTGTGAGATAGTTATCCGCCACAAGCAATGGATGAAAGGTTGCTCAAGAGTGTGTGTAGATTAAGATCAAACATTAGCACCGCCGGATACCGATTCAGTGGTCTAGAAGTTAGGCGTTCGAGAGATACCGAATGTCCTGGGTTTGAGCCCCGTATGCGGGATCGTGGATGCACACTATCGAGGAGTCCCGCATCAAGAAGAAAAAGCTGTCCAGTGCTTCCAGGTTTGCAACGGTTGTCTAATATAGATCAGTTCATGGTTTCAATTAAAAAAACTCAACACTCTCTACAAACCTATATCAATTTAATGCCATTTTGAAAGACTAGTTTAATTTATCCCAATTTTCAAGATTGTGGTTTCTAAATTTAATGAGTTACATATGTTAAAGTCATACCACTATACATCTCCTAAAACTAAATGGTATAACTTACAGATTAAGTATTTTATTATTGATTTAGATGAATTCGAAGACTCAGAGCTTGTTAGAAGAAAGGTAGATACTTGGAGAAACACATGTCTTACATCTTACATTTATAAAACAGTAGCTTTCACCATGAAATGATTTCATGCGGAGATTGATTAAAAAAGAGTGAAACTAAGTTTGTTGTGGTTGAATATTCTGAGTCCAAGTGTCCACGCATCCACAACTCTAAACAGGTTTGAATCTAAGACCTCCATACACTGCATCAAGTATGATGTCAACAGTTATTGTATAAATCTCTTGATTATCTCGGATCAATATGTTCACCATTTATTTACTATAAACTGTGTTCTTCTCTCTTTTTTACAAAAAAAGGCTGCAGCTCAAATTGAAGATCCAAATTTTAAGGAGAAACTTAACAAACTCAATGCTGCTATACATTATGGTGAAGGAGATTTATCTGGTTCACGTAGTATAGTTGAACAAAATCATTCTGGTGATATTGATTCGATTATTAATCTTGGATGTTTATTTTATCGCGAAGGAGATTATCAAAAAGCTTGCAAGCACTTTCAACAAGCTATACAAGTTAGTTATTTTTTAAAATTACTTCTTCATTATTCGAAATACATGTTTAGAGTTAGTCAATAACAACGTAGAACTTCGTACGTACGTACATCAGTTCAAGTTGCTATACCACATTAGCACAGAGATACATTTGT